TGCATTATCCAGTCACACATCCTTAGCTTTTTTTTTAATTAATTTTTTTGAGAGAGAGAGAGAGAATTTTAATATTTATTTTTAGTTTTTGGCAGACACAATATCTTTATTTGTATGTGGCTCTGAGGATTGAACCCAGGCCACACTCATGGCAGGCAAGCGCACTACCGCTTGAGCCACATCCCCAGCCCCATCCTTAGCTTTTTGTAGTTAGTTCCCAGAACCTTCCTAGCATTCTCTGACCTTTGCATTTTAGGAATTTTTTATTTGGAATATATTTTCCCCAGTTAATTCTGAGCAATTGATCCTTCAAAGCTCMGAATAAGTGTCATTTCTTTTCCCTACAAGACTAAAAACTAAGATTCCTTTCCATGTTCCCTCAACTGTATCCCTGTCATAGCTCCCACTACTTTGTATTTTAATTATTTTCATGGATGTTATTACTAATATTATTAGTGCTTATTATAAATTTTCCCTCTTAGTTCATGGGTTTGCTCATGGTCTGAGACTGGCCTTTCATCTCTTTATTCTCAGTAAAGATTTCGCCACATAGGAGGTACCCCCCAAATATTTAAATATTGAATCCCTTCATCTTATGGTTGAGAAACCAAGGCCTAAAGAGATAAGCCACCTTGCAAGAGATTATATATAAAAGGGCAGAACTTACCTTTTGATCAAGTGTTGGTTTCCCTTTATCAGGAATTACTGACTCAGATGTGTTTATAAGGTTCAAATAGGTAATAAAAATGTGAAAAGTGAACTCTTCTTATCCTCTTCATTTTTTCTGGAACACATGACTCTCCTACAATATTTTACCATGTATAAAAAATGTTTTGGTATAAGTAATTCTTTATTTTCCTCTTAAACTACCACGTAAGAAAAACAATAGTATGAAAATGGCTCTATTGTGTCTTGATGAATTATAGAAGATTCAAGGATCAAATATACTTTTCTCTGTGCTACTACAGGACTTTATATATACATAAATGTGGCTTTGCTTTGTGGTATGGTGCTGGGTATTGAACTTAGGGCTTCCTACATATTAGGCAGATATTCTACAGTAGTAGAGCTACATCCCCAGCCCAGATATCGCACTTCGTGTGGCATGGTTTCTGTCTTTGGGTYCATGCCCTTGTGTGATACTCAAAACATTCTGACTGTTCCAGTTACATCTCTAATCATTGAACCTTTCCCTCAATTTTGCACACATGTTCATATATTAAACTTCAACTTTACTGAATTATATTTCCCCAGCATGCCTTTTTTAATGCTTCCCCATCTGTCCTTCCTTCCCGCCAACTGTGCTTAAATCAACCTCAATCCCTGGTCTCACTGTCATCCATTCTGTTTGGTGCTAGATAAACCTCAGCACAGAACTCTAAACTCAAGTGCCATTCCTGGGCATAGAATGTTGCATGTACACGCATATGTGTGTGTTTTACCAGAGCACACACAAGCACTTTAGCAGATGGTCATTCAACTGCTCCATTTAGGACTTACCTAGAATTCTTGCATAAAGTTGGATTCCAGGATTAAATTGTGTAGTTCCTGAATTTTCAGGCAGTGACATACTGCCTCTGGTATCAGTTTGATTAAACTTGATAACTTTAATGCCATTTGGTTCTATTGGGGAGAAAGAATTTAATTGCTTACTCTAGAGAATGGATTTTTTCCCCACTGACTAAGGAATAGAACATTTATTAAGATTATCTTTGTGACCTGAAAGGGAGAAATGTACTTCTTTTTCCTTAAAAGAAGCATGTCCAGGGCATTTTTAGCATGTGGTAAAAATTCTATAATTGGGCAATACTGACTTCTTTGGGATTCAGCCTTCTAGCCCCTGCTGTGTGATTAGTTCTGTCCAACCTGCTGGCGTGCTTGAGCAGGGAGCCTGCAGAGGATTAGGAAGGAAAAACCCTTTAGCAAGTCTCAGGTACTAAAGACGTTTGATTTAATTTCACATTACACATGGTTATATGGTTTCCCTTGGCAACCTCCAGTTCTGCCCTACTTTATAATCAGAGGATGGCAGGATACATTGCACACTTGTCATCACCTGGAAAGGGAGTGTAGAGAACAAAATTTGTCTCAAAAGAAGAGACAAAAAGGTTATTAAAAAGAACAGAGGAATCTGATATACCTTCAGAAAGAAACAGATGGTTCTCTGTAGATTTCATTGATGAGAGAGATTCTAGAACTATCTATAGCAGTTTGGGGATATGAAGGAATGAGACCTAATTCTATAAATATTTTAAGGGGTAAAAGAGTTATATTTACAAATTAGAGATGAGTTTTCATTTTAATAACAATAATAGTTACCATTTAATAAGTACATGATAGGAATCTTTGGTAACTTCTATTCATGATTTCATTGAATTCTCACAATATTCCTGCCAAGGAATTATTAATATCCCTGAATAGATGAAGGAATAATTGTTTATTGATCTCTTAAAGTATGAGGCTGGAGGAAGTGTGAGACAACATGATTTCAGTTTTGGAGACCATTTATTTTTTTCCATCATCTTAAAAATCTTAAAATCTTATCAGTCCTTCCTTCCTTTCTTTCTTCCTTCCTTCCTTCCCCCCTCTTTTTGCCAGGGCTTGAACCTAGGGATGCTTAACCATTGAGCCATATCCCCAACTCTTTTTAAAAATCTTGTATTTAGAGACAGGGTCTTACTAAGTTACTTAGGGTCTTGCTAAATTACTGAAGCTAGCTTTGAACTTTTGATCCTCCTGCCTTAATCTCATGAGCCACTGCGATTACAGGTGTGCACTACCATGCCTGGTTCACAATCCTATCAATAGCATTTACTATAAAGCAGTATATTAACTGATGTCTACTAATGATAACATTCAGCCCCTTCAGAAAAGTTTAAATTTTAATAATCTTAGTCCAACTCTATAATTTTACATATTAGGAAATTGAATTCCAGAAATTAAGTGGAGCATAAAACTAGGTTTTCTAATTCCTAGTWATCTATGAGTTGTATATGCCCATACACTTTGAAATAGGGGTTCAATAAATGGAAGGAAATAAGGGGTCTTGTAGTACTTTAAATGGTATTAGGCTGAGGTAGCATGCAGAGTAAAAACAATAAATCAGGCATTGGGAAGAGTTCTTACTTAGCTGGTGATTAGTTCATTCTCCTTGACTCAAGTCTGAACGTATTAATATACCTCATATTTTCAATGATCACAGGTCTTTAGAAGTGTCTGGTGTTCTTCCAGTCATTTGAGGGAAGACCTGTTTATTGAAAAGGAGAGGGGCTGTACATATGTATCTGTGTGTGTGTGTGTATGTGTGTGTGTGTGTGTGTGTGTGTGTGTATTGCCATGTCGTGAAGTAAATGTGAATGCTAATGACTGGCCATTTTTGTGACCTGTGAAAGCAGAGACTATGGTATTAATATTATTGACTTGTTCACAAGATGCCATACATTGTGGGCAGGCCATGTCATTACCTTTTACTGAAGTGAAAGCTGTGGGAATCTAACGGAAAACTGGGAAATCTCAGTGGCACATATTTACTATGCAAAGCATTTTACATGAATTTTATTTGCTCCTTATAACTTCAGTGGTTATAAATGTTATCTTCATTTTTAACAGTTTTTTTATTAATCCTTCCTAGAACATTCGCCTAACACTTTATTATGAGAATTTTTAAATGTATAGAAAAGTTTAAAGAATTGTTAACAAACATCCCAAGGCCAATTGGATTCTACAATTGTTACTTATATATATATATATATTTGCTTTATTATATATCTGGCCATCCATTTATCTACCCATAAATCCATCTTAGTTTTTGTTGTATTTCTTGGTGAGTTGCAGACTTTACTACATTTAACTCCTGAACATATAAGTGAATATCATGAAGTAGATAGAGTTAAAAATGTTTTCCTTAACTGAATAAACAAAAACAAAAAAACTGGAACCTTCAGTTCTGTGTTTTGGGAACTATGTATTCAGTCCCTTTGAGCTTTCTCCCATGAAATAATAAGGTATTTTAAGAAAAAATGTAATCTACCCATGTTAAAAATCACTCATACTTCATTAATGAAAAATAGAAACATGTAAAAGGAGGGGGATACCCCTGAATTCATAGGCCACAGCAGCTCAGCACTGCAAAGAAATCTTACCCCATTTCTGATTTTAAACAAGACTGAGGTCACTGCAAAATTTTTAAACTCAACTCCTCTCCTAACAAGGGAAGTTACATTAGCAAATTAGTTAAGCACTTCAGTAATGATATTGGAACTTAATTTCACTGAACTTTTCCCCTTTTCTCTTCTTTCTGGGTGTGACTAAATTGCCTACAGCATGCTGCATGGTTGCTGGTAAAACAGGAAATGGGGTAAGTAATTTAGGTAGGGAGTTTTTAACCACCATTTAAATACAAGCTATCTAATTCTTAAATACTTTTACTGCTACTGTCTCTCTCTCTCTCTCTCTCTCTCTCTCTCTCTCTCTCTCTCTCTCTCTCTCTCGGAAATTGGCACAAAGAAGCAATTTTTTATTTTATCAACCTTATTTAGTTAGTTTACTTGCATAGCCTATTAGTAATCTATTAAAGTAGGTTTATTTTTTGTATGTGTATATTAATGTGAATGTATATACATAAATACATATTTTATATGTATTAGGCACTTATGTAATTTGGGAAATTAAAATAATAACTTTTATGTTGGTCTTAGAAAATAAATTATAAAACTAGGACATAAAAGATAAATTGTAAAATTCTAGCTAAGCCAGAATGAATTTATACACTGCTAACTCATAGAAAACATAAATGTACAGCCTTTTTAAAAAAAGTTTTTGTAGTTGTAGATAGACACAGTATCTTTATTTATTTTTATACGGTGCTGAGGAACAAACCCAGTGCCTCACACGTGCAAGGTAGGCACTCCACCACTGAGCTATAGCCCCAGCCCTGTACAGTCTTTTTTTGAAATTCTTAGAGACCAAATGTATTGGAGTTTTAGAATTTTTGGATATTRGGGAGGAAATTCAGTGCTAAATATAATATATAATACACTCCTTTCTTGGGGTGGTACTATATAATCAAACATTAATATTTCTTCAATAAACAAGAATATTCACACTAAGCTTGGTAAGCAAAGTAAATAGTCTTGTGTTCCAGTTGCAATGTGATTGCCAACTGAGTGGGTTTGTTTGTTTGTGTTTTTTAATGATATTGGGGATTGAACCCAGAGTCTCATACATTCTAGGCTAGGGCTCTACCACTGAGCTACATACTTAGTCCCTTTTAAGTTTTAAAATTTGAGACAATTTTCTCCACTGGACYAAGATGCTCTAAATATATTTCAAAGTATTGTGAAGGATTTAAAAAACAATTTTCTTAAATATGTAATGAATAATGTTTTAACTCATTTTTAGGATTGACTTAAATTACTGCAACCCTTTGCACTTTAAATAATTGGAATCTAAATAATTTTTTAAATAGTTTCCATTCTTGTGTTTTTGTTACATATTTTATCCTTTACATTGTATTCTTAAAAATGTATCCACACACATTAATTATACACTTTCAGCTGTGATGTTAGTTTATGTATATATCATTAAACTGTTGATACAGTATCAAGATAGTCTTTTAAATGCCTGAATGTTTTTGATGAACAAAGAATTAGAAACAGTTTGTGAAGCTTCATATTTGAATAAATCCTTGAATGTAGAGGAGTAATTTGATTATTTGTCGTAGGGCTTATCTGGGTATTTAAACTATAATCCCAAAGCATATTAAAACATTTCTGTAACCAGTTAGAATCTCTGCTAGATACAGAATGAGTAGATAGATTATTTTTTAATTTGTATTTTTAGAGAACGATGGTGTCTTTATATTCTTCCCCCACCCTGATAAATTCAGTTTAACAATTAGCTAAATTACTTTTGTTTTCTACCTGCAGTTAGTAATGTCTTTTATTCTTACAGAATTAAAATACAATGGATATTGCAATGGATATAAATCTAATTTTTATCACTGAAAATTAGTCATTAAAAGGGATGGTTCAGAGGAACTCTTTTGTTAAAAACAGYCCTGTAAATAGCCAGGCTGTTTTGAAGTTTTACTTATTTGAATTATATGGACTTGTTAGTTTGTTTGTACTGTCCCTGTTCTCAACAGAGTAGAGCAGTTTTAGTAATACCACACCATGTTTTTCTTTCCTCTTACCTCAGTTTCTTTCTATCACAATTTTAGACTAAATCTAGATCTCATAATAGGGACTTTCTAAAATCTGTGTATTGGTTCATGAGTCAATTTGGGGGGAATGTGAAGTTTTTTTTCAGACAAGAATCTGGAAGTACATTGATGAGCATTTCAGAACATTAATACTTCAGGATTTAATATTTTCAGYAGCAAAGAAAAATAGGAGAGATTTTACATTGATTTCCCAAAATTAAGTCCCATTTTTAGCAAGACAGATGCAAGTTTTTTTGTTTTTGTTTTTGTTTTAGTACTGAGGATTGAACACAGGGTACTTTATCACTAAGTCATATCCCCAGTCCCTTTTTTAAATTTTGAGACAGAGTCTCGCTAAGTCACTTAGGGCCTCACTAAATTGCTGAGGCTGGCCTAGAAATTGGAATCCTTCTGCCTCAACTTCCCAAGTCTCTGGGATCACAAGTGTTAATCTCCATGCCTAGCTAGATGCAAGTATTTTTAAACAGGGATATGAGCAGTAAACAATCATCTCTTTTCTACCTTTCCAGAATGTATAAATCCTAGAATCTGGCAATTCCAGCCCAGAAAAACAGATTAGTGTACTTTTGTCAATAAAGCTTTAAAAATTGCTTCCTTTATTTCACTAGAATATAGTTGCATGAGGTAAGGAATTTTTGTTCACTTTATTCTCAGATTTCTATATAATGTGTAATATAGTAAGTATAATTATATAAATACTTGCCTTTAACAGAAAAAGTGAAGTTTTTGATGTCAGTGAATTATTTTTTATTTCTCAGAAAACAGAGTCTGTCACTGGGAAGAAATGATATAGTTCAGCTAAAAGAAGCCTACAAATGGATAACATACCCCCTGTTTTCAGAGGAACTGGGTGTTCCCATTGATGGAAAGGTATCGGGGTCATCAGCATTGTTAATTTCATTTGTGGTTTTATTTTACTTTATTCTGTGGCAGGGTTTGGATTAGCCAGAGGAATTTTCTGCTTAAATAGTTAAGTAAAGGATTTCCAAGCTTTTAAAAATGTTGATTTCTAACAGTCATACATTGAAGATAAAGCCTCTTTTGTTTTTATTCCCTAAAGAGTTCTTTGTGATCCAAGACACTTATGAGTATAACAAGTAATATGTACCTTAATTGACCTTAAAAGGTTAGAAATGAATCTTTTCCTCTGATGTATTCATAGTTTCATGGGAGGGGGGCAGATTTACTGATATTAAGCAATATATAAATAACTGACAAGTACTGAGTCAACTCTAGACTTATTTAATTTTGGTTAATCTGTGGCTAATATTGTCTCCAAATATACAGGCAGTACCGATTCAACTATAGTGAGCTTGGGCTCAATCTATCCCACTTTGTTGGCATTCAGTTCCTTCTGTTTATTTTGAGACAGAGGCTGCTTTTGAATTGAGAGCCCTTTGTCACCTTTCTGATAATTTCAGAGAAGACTGCTTCAATCTCTGGAATATTGAATTTCAGAGAAGAGCCCAATAGGTTGCTGGATGTGAAAACAGAACATATTCCTAGCTCATCTTAAATTAGATTTTAATAGTATGGCTTTATTGCATCATCATTTTGCTTGAAGGAAATTCCTGGAATATCAGATACACCCATATTCAGATAAAATCACAAAACCATCTTACAAAGCTAGTTTTTTTTTTTAAAATCCTAAATTATATACTGTTTATGCTTCTATTAGTTAGAACACATATGACTGTCCTTTAAACTGAATACTGAGAGAACAGAAAATAAAACCATAAATAGTATGAAGAGGAAATGAGATAAAGAGAAGTCATGAATGCAAAATATTTTTACCTCGAATTTCAGTTTGGGAGCACAAATACTTTTACATGTTGAATCAGTGAAAACAGAAAATAGAAAACAAAAGATGTAATAATGTTTTAATAGAGTCAGACTGAGTGAAGTTTTCTTTAATAGAAAACGTGGTTCATTTTAATTTTATTTTGCAAATTTGGATAAGGAGCAAAAAAAGCTCTTTCGTTATTGTAATTCTAGAGTAACTAATAGGCTTATTAGCAATCCAATGAACTTAGTACATATAGAAATCAGTAAATACACAGAACTAAATAAAAAACAAGAAATTGTAACTCAGTAAAAAAGACAAATTGTAACAAAGTATAACATTTATATCTTTTTTAATGTGAAATTTTATATATTCTCTGTGGAGATAAAAGTATATAGAATATGAAATTGTGCTGTTTTATGTACAAGATGTGCATGTAAAAGAATATAGCATTTTTTAAATTTTAGAWTAATTTTCTATAACTTAAATATCTGACACTTAAAATTCAAAAATGTTTATGAAAAAAAGATTAAATAAAGCAATTTTCCAAAAGCATGTTTAATATTTTRAAATGTACATATATATGTTTATATTCACAAATATGTCTAGAAACATATTAAATTGTTAATAGTTCTATTTCTGTGGATTGGAAGTGAAAAACCATCCTGTATTTGATTATTTTATAATTTGTAGGTGTTACTTTTGTAACAATACAAAAAAATTAAGATTTATCTATCTCAAATCCATTAGAAATTTGAGCACTTAAAATATGCTTCATACAAGGGCTGGGGATATAGCTCCGTTGGTAGAGTGCTTGTCTTGCGTGCACAAGGCCTTGGGTTCAATCCCCAGCACCACACACACACACAAACACACACACACATATATATGTATGTATGTATATATATATATATATATATACACACACACACTCTCTCTCTATATATATATATCCACATACATATATATGTATACTTCATACAGAATTTTTAGAGATGCAAATAAAATGTGTTTTGCCTTATTAAAAATTCTAATCATAGTATTGACAGAATAAGTTGTTTCTTTTAGTTATTCTTTCTGGTTCCCTGAATTCTGATTGAATTCCGATTCATCTTTGTACCTAATTTTTATATTTGTCTAAAAAATTACACAAATTTGTTTTGATTTTACTTTAAAACTTTCTTGGTAATATCTCTAGTGACTGAGGTTTACAAGTTAAAAAAAAAAAAAAAAAAGAAAAACAACAAAAATCAATCTAAAAGTTTCCTTTACAGCTGCCCTGTGAACAAGCTGGTTTGAGAGTAGTAGTAATATTTCTAGTTTTCCTTGTCACTTTGTTTGAGCCAGTCTTTGAGAGTTAATTTCTATATCCAGTCATAAGTTGTAAGATGTTAGTTTCCTTTTGCTCATTTTAAAACTGTCTTTATAATTTTTAGAGCTTGTTTGAAGTGAGTGTGGTCTTTGCTCACCCAGAAACAGTTGGGGATTGCCACTTCCTGTAAGTTGCCATGTAAACGACAGTGTCAAATTTTGTAAAATTGTTAATGCTTTTGGTTYTCATTGAAATAGTAATGTTTCTCTTTCTAATTAACATTTCAGAACTTGTCATATTTTAGTACATTAAAAGTGTGCCTTCTAACTTAAGGTTTCTAGGTAAACCAGGGTAGCTCATGTAAGAGATTAATTTTGTCTACTTCTGATATCTTGAGTTTAGCAATCATGTTGTGTAAAATATATTTAATTGACTTATATCTACCTCCAATAAACTAATTAACTTTTTATATTCACTTGAATTTTATTTCAGAGGTAAAATTTTCCCAGACTGTTTCAAGCCAGCCAAAAATAAGCAGGTAAGGATTCTTTTGAGCTGAATATGAAGGTAACAATAAAATGAAAATGCACTGGAAATGTGGCAACTCTCTTATGCCAAAATTAATCTTTAAATATTTTCATTTGCTACATTTAGTTTTTTCAATTCTTAGCACCTTTGCCTTCATCTGTGAAGTCATTGCACATACATATCCATATTTGTGCCTGCGTCTGGGTTGTTCCACTGGTTCCTTAAATTTAGAACCAGTATTTCAATGATATTATTATTAACCAGCTTTCAGTTTTTAATCCACCAAATTGCACCATCAGGGAAAATCCATGGCAAGTATCAGCAGTGTCCCAAACTTTTGTCTAATACATACTTTCCAGAAATTAGTTTTAAAAAAATCTAATCCAAGCTAAGTTATTTTATTTATTAGGATAGTCATAAATTAATACAGATTGAGTGTACCTTATTCAACAGTGCTTAGTTCATAAATGTTTCAGATTTGGAAATTGTTTGAATTTCAGGATATTTGTGTATACTTTACTGGTTAGGCATCCCTAACCTGGAATTTAGATTTTCAGATTAGAGATACTCAACCTTTGTAGATATTTCAGGCCACATTCGCAAAAAGGATATTTTATTCAGACTCTCCTTTGTTGTCTAATGTTAGCTGATTTTCATGTCAGTGAACAAATTAGTTATCATATTCTTTTAGTTCATATTATGCCAGAATAAGATAGCATGACATGCTGTTGGGGCAATCTTTCATRCTCCCATTACTTATCTGGTATTTTATAGTTAAGCATTCCTACAATTTTACTAACATCCATTTTGTTCAGTAGTTGTTAAAAAGAATATGTTTATTTTCAAAGATATCTGGGTCTTTCTTCTTGATTTGACTACTAATTGGCTTATTTAGAACTGGGGGAAGAAGTTAATAACTTTTGTCAAATACTGTGTATGGAAATAATTAGAAATGCAGACTAAGTCTAAAGCATTGTCTCCTTACTTTTCTTTTTTTAGGGGGAAACAATCTAAATTTTTTTTTTTTTTTTTTTTTAGTTGTAGATGGTCAGAATACCTTTGTCTATTTTTATGTAGTGCTAAGGATCAAACCCTATGCCTCACACATGGTAGGCAAGTGCTCTACCACTGAGCCACAACCCCAGTCCCTCATTACTTTTCTTATATCATGGCACACCTGGAGCTTTACCATGTTGATTCAATACCTTGAGATTAACAAATGGAATTGAGGTTTGGGGGGAAAAATCAAGCACATTTCCTACAATGTTGTCATTTTTATATTTGAAGAATGCCATATTTTGAGAGGAGTGAGATAATGCCATCAAAAACACATGTTTTGTTGGTCTGCCTTGTAGTGCAGAAATAGATCAAATTGAAGAGAAAGAGTAGAGGTATACCAGTTTCAGAACTGACATTATRACTGCTTAAGTTTTACTTATTTTCTTGAAAATAGTAAGTATTTTCCCCTTTATGTGTGTAAAATGACATAATTTCTCCAACTGTGTTCTGTGTTTCAGCTCTGATTTTTTTTTTTTGTCTAGGTAATAAAATGTCTTTTAATTTTCCTTTTACCCYGTATAGTCGGTATTCACTAGAATGGCAGTTATGAAAGCTTTGAATAAGATAAAAGAAGAGGATTTCCGCAAGTAAGTAGAAGTATCATGGAATTTTAGAATAAAGGGAATGTTAAAGATAATTCAGATTATCTCCAAGACAAGACTGGATGTATTTCAGGGACCAGGACTGCATTTTAGTCATCCTTATATTCCCAGTTCCTGATATAGTAACTGGCATGTAGTGGTGTTCAGTAAATGTTTGTTAAGCTAATATTTAAATTATGAGTCAAGTCTAACTTCTTTATATTTTAGAAGAGGATATTGAGATCCGAAGAGGAATTGACTTGCTTATGTTTTCAACTGGGTAACAGAGGGTGGACCTCAGGCCCAGTGCCATTTCTATTACTTAACTAATCCTATATGTCCTAGCTTGGCCCATCTCCAGAGGAGGGAGAAGACTGGGGAATTTTCTTACTTGTAATGGGAATAGCACTGGCTAGGAAGTCAGGAAACTTGATTTTAATCAAGTCCACTCTGTTTCCCCAGTTGAAATCTTAGGCAAGTCAACCAGCTCTTTGGAAATCAGTGCCTTCTTCTAAAATATAAATTGTTAAAATATGCTAAAATACAATAAACCTTACATTATAATTCTCAGTATATTTATAAATAAAATATTATTGTGGTTATTCTTCCAGAAGATACTTGAATAAATTTCAAGCAATGATATTATAAGGAGGGTTTTATATCTCTGACAGAGTCTCAGAATGGAAAAATATTTTTATTAAATTTTAGAGAGTAAATTTTACTTTATACACAGGAAATTTCCAAACCATGCATTTGGGGTTAAATCTATATCTAGTTATTTACAGGTAGTTTCCAGTTTTGAACTTGCAAATTTCTAGATGATGGATAGAGAATAAAGCTATATGTTGTTTTTTCCTGTCTGTCCTCAGTAGGTTTAAAGTTTCTTAGCTAAGAGGACTGTGTCAACCACACCCCCCCCCCCACGTAATCTAATTCCCAAGGTCTTATTTGGAATGAGAAGAAAGCAAAAGGAAAAGTGGTCAAGCGCCCTCCCYGACAGTTGGGACTTATTTCCCACAGGTGGGATGCACTTCGTAAGTGGGACCACTTACTGCATATTAGCTTTACCCAAAGAACTGAGTATCATGTAGGTAAGCCAGCAGCAAGTGACAGGGAGAGCAAAATGATTGAAGAGCCTGGAGAGGCTTCCACTTCATAGATATGGATTCCCCCATCCCCAAATCTCAAGGCTGTGAAATTCATTTGGGAAAATGAGACCTCCTGAGCATAAAAGGTAGCATCAGAGCTCTCATAAACTTAGTGCCACTCTCATAAATTAAAAGTGTTATTCCAGAGGCCTAAAATAACTTTATTGTTTCAAAACTAAAAGTTAGGGAGAGGTGTATAGTCCTTGAGAACCTCAGGTTCTGTTTGTGTCTCAGACAATGCTGATTCATCTTAGTTTTGTAATTCAATATCATGTCTGGAAAATAGTAGCTGTAAAATTTGTTTTGTTTTACAGGCAGTTTCCTTGTCCTCCAAACTCACCAAAGGCTGTTTGCACTGTTCTTGAAATTGAATGTGCTCATGGTGCTGTTTTTGTGGCTGGTAAAATATTTTGTCTAGAATATATGTATACCGTCAACCTACTGTTGTCCTTTCTGAACAACTCAGTTGACTCCTTTTCTGTTTTATTTTTATTGTTGTTATGATGTTCTGGTTAGTTTACTCTTTTGATATGTAACACTAATACCCAATCTTTTTTTTAGATTCTGTAGGCTGTCCTAAAGATCCTTAGGGAATATAGTTTAAAAAAATCCTTAGGAGAGCTGTTATTTCAAATGTTATGCCAAATGGAAGTGACAACTTTCCAGGTTTTAGTAGTTTACATCATAGGTGGGTAGAAATATAGACAGATGTGAAGACCCAAAGTGATCAAAGACTATAGCACTGAAGATATTTTATAACATGGAAAGCAAACTTGAAAAAATGATATTATTATGTCGAAATGACCAAACACTTGGCTTTCACCTGAAAAAATAATTGTTATATTGACTTTCCCGAGTAGTTAGATAGCAGACAGTTTTAACTGCTTCAGTGATTCACACCTATATTCCCACATACTCAGGAGGCTAAGGCAGGAGGATCACAAATTCAAGGCCTACCTGGGCAACTTAGTGAGATCCTGTCTCAAAATAAAAAATAGAAAGGACTGCAGATGTAGCTCAGTGTTAGAGTACCCCTGGGTTACATCTCCAGTACTGTGAAAAAAGGAAGAAAGAAAGAGAGAAAAAGAGAAAGTCAGTCAGATATAGCTCCTTCATAGTAATAGGTGAAATGAAATTGCTCTTAGCCTGCCCTAGGGCAGTAAAATCTACCGGCTTAGTATAGCTTTATTCATAAAACAGTGAGTCATAGTCTGTTGGGGTGTTTTGTTTTTTGTTTTAACTTAGAAAAAYTTCAAAATTTCCTATATTTGAGTTCTTTGGAATATGTTGTCACCAGTGACTATTACTTTGAAAGTATTATTAGTCACATATAAAAGCAATAATTTTTATTTTCTTAATGATCCTTGGTATATACCATAATATTATATAACTTGTTCAATCAGCCAGTCATATTATAAAATATATTGAGCATTCCTTTCAAACTTACTTAATACACCATTCATATCATGTCTTTAGCCATCTATTCTATTGTTACTTTAAATATTTTTAATTATCTTCATTTCTGTGTGCTGGCTCCCCAATACATGGAAAACAAGTGAATTAGTTAAAGGCTAGGCCTTGTTCTGCATCATAGTACCTAGAATATTGGCACTCAGTAAGTAGTTGTTGCTTCTCTTTATCCTATTGTGTTCATCACACTGTTCCATTGAGGCTACCTGATATTTCTTTGGCAGGGAGATACAATAAATATTCCAGGAATCTACCACAAACTCCTTGGATAATTGATGGAGAAAGGAAGCTGGAATCTTCAGTGGAAGAATTAATTTCAGATCATCTGCTGACAGTATTCAAAGCAGAGAGTAAGTGTTATGATATTATTATTTTAAACACATTGTTATTTATGAATAGATTTCTTGGGAGCGGCGGGAAAGATTTCTAAATTTTATTTATCATTACCGGGTCTGGTCCTCTTGGCTCTGGGCTTCCCATGAACAGGGATTGTTATGTCCAGGGCTCTTCCTTCTCAAAATCACTGCTCCYTTCTGGGAAACTCAAAACAGATGAAACTACTTTTCAATGAATGCAGTTAAGCCCTGGCCTCAGCATACCGTAGCCTTAGCTTCTTTTGGGGAATATGAGGAAATTAAAACACAGCTTCCAYATCCAGTGCTTGTTCAAGAGTTGTCATTGGCAAATATCTGGCTTCTATATTAACCTATAAAGTATRTTGGGATGAAGTTGAGGCCTTGAGAAAATAGATCAACAGTAGCCATTTTACAAGGACTTCATGACAGTGTATTGTTTTAATTTCTTAAATATTAATGTACCCAGAGTGTGTGGAATGAGTCAGATCCTGTTATGCTTATGTTATCCTTGTCTCAACAAGTCTGTCAGGTCAAAGGCAGCATGAAGTCCTGTGATTTCACCCTGGGGTTAGATAAGAGAACAAGGAGTAAGATTTCAATCACAGGAAATCATGTTACATGTCAGGAAAAACTGCAGGCAATGAGTTATGTCACTTTTTAGAATGTAACTTTTTAGAATGGGGCTCCTAGCCTGAGGAGAAGACCTTTTTATCAGGAACCAGCTAGATATCTGTTTTTCTCTCTGAAAAATCTTAAGAAGAGTGTGCTTTGAGAAGGAAGGCAGATGATCTAGATAAGGTACAGTTGTCCCTTCTAGCTCTAATTCGTTAAGAAGAAAATGAAGCAATCTAACAGAAGAGGTGAAGGACCTCTACAATGAAAACTGTAGAACACTAAAGAAAGAAATTGAAGAAGACCTTAGAAGATGGAAAGACCTCCCATGTTCTTGGATAGACAGAATGAATATTGTCAAAATGACCATACTACCAAAAGCACTATACAGATTCAATGCAATTCTTATGTTCACAGATCTAGAAAAAGCAGTTATGAAATTTATTTGGAAAAATGAGACTCACAATAGCCAAAGCAATCCTTAGTAAAAAAAGTCAAGCAGGCGGGATCACAATATTGGACCTCAAATGATACTACAGAGCTATAGTAACAAAAACAGCATAGTACTGGCACCAAAAAAGGCATGAAGATCAATGAAATAGAAGACATAGAGACAAACCCACATACATTACAGTTATCTGATACTTGACAAAAGTGCCAAGATCATATGTTGGAGAAAAGATAGCCATTTAAACAAATGGTGCTGGGAATATTGATTATCCATATGTAGAAGAATGAAACTAGACCCTTATCACTCACCCTGCACAGAAGTCAGCTCAAAGTGGATCAGAGACTTAAGAGTTAGACCAGAAAACTTGCAACTGCTAGAAGAAAATGTAGGCCCAACAATCCAGCATGTCAGCTCAGGAACTGACATCTTTAACAAAACTCCTAAAATACAAGAAGTAAAATTAAAAATCAATAAGTGAGATGGCATCAAATTAAAAAGCTTCTTCACAGCAAAGAAAACAAGCATGAAGAGAGGGCCTACCGAATTGTAAAAAATGTTTGCCACCTGTTCCTCAGAGCATTAATATCCAGGATATACCCCCCCAATAAAAACCAAAACCCCTCAAAACGTAACACCAAAAAACAGCCCGATCAATAAATGGAAAAGGAACTAAAGAGAAACGTCTCAAAAGAAGAAGTACAGTGGTCAACAGATGTATGAATAAATGTTCAATATTTCTAGCAATTAGAGAAATGCAAATTAAAACTATACTAGGGGCTGTGGTTGTGGCCCAGTGGTAGAGTGCTTGTTCAGCACATGTGAGGCACTGGGTTCGATCCTCTGCACCACATAAAAATAAATAAGTRATATAAAGGCATAAAAAATACAATAGCATTATTTTTTAAAGATTTTTTTTAAAGATGAACACAGTATCTTTATTTATTTATTTATCTGCCTATTTATTTATCTATCTTGCCTCATGTGTGTGAGGCAGGTGCTCTACCGCTGAGCTATAACCCCAGCCCCAATAACATTATTTAAAAAATATTTTTTTAAAAACTATACTGAGATTTCATCTCACTCTAGTTAGAATGGCAATTATCAAGAATACAAGTAACAATAAATGTTGGTGAGGATGTGGGAGAAAAGTACACTCATACATTGTTGGTGAGACTGCAAATTAATGCAATCACTCTGGAAAGCAGTATGGAGATTCCTCAGAAAACTAGGAATGGAACCAATGTATGACCTGACCCAGCTATCCCACTCCTCGGTATATATTAAGAACTTAAAATCAGCATACTATAGTGATGTAGCCACATCAGTGTTTATAGCAGCACAATTCACAATAGCCAAGCTAGGGAGCCAATTTGGTAYCCATTAACAGATGAATAGATAAATTGTGGTATATATACACAATTGAGTATTACTCAGCCATAAAGAAGAATGACTTTATGACATTTACTGGTAAATGGATGGAACTGGAAACTATCGTGCTAAGTGAAATAAGCCAGTCCCAAGAAATCAAAGGTATAATGTTTTCTCTGATATGTGGAAGGTAATCCAAATTAAGGTGGGGAGGATAAAAGAAAAAGAGAAGAAAGGTCGATGGAGTAAACAAAGTGGAATGAAGGGGAAGGGAGGAAGGATAGGATAGGGAAAGACAGTAGAATGAATCTGACCTGAATTTCCTATGTACATATATGAATATACCACAGTGAACTTACCATCATGTGTATCTACATACAATAAATTAAAAAATATATATAAAGAGCAGAAAGATCAGTAGAGTAGAGGGAATGGAGCAGGAGAAGGAAAGGAGAACTACTAAGTACTGAATTAGAACAAATTATATTTCGTGCTTTTGTAATTATGTCAAAATGAATCTTATGTATAGCTAAAAAGAACCAATAAATAAATAAATAAAGGGATACAGTTCTTCTTCCCCTCCTACTTTCCGTATCTACTCTTCTTAGAAGTCTTGTTCTTCCTCATCTTGTGCTCCCCAAAGTGACTGGAATATTGAGGAATAAATTCAAATTTTCATAACATGTAGTAGAATTGTGCTCTTAGTGTAATAATGTTCCTGTGCATATCCTATCCCATGCTTACTTTTGCATATTATAGTACATATCCCTCCACCAATAGTAACTAGGACTGTGTTTATCTCTCTGCATCAAGCACAGGGCCTTGCACATTGTAGGCACTCTAAAGGTATTTGTTTACTAAATGAATAAAGTTCTCCTAGCCTTCAACCTGTATGTTCAGAGACCTTAAACTTCACCACTTTTTTTTTTTTTTTAAAGAGAGAGTGAGAGAGGAGAGAGAGAGAGAATTTTTAATATTTATTTTTTAGTTCTCGGCGGACACAACATCCTTGTTGGTATGTGGTGCTGGAGGATCGAACCYGGGCCGCACGCATGCCAGGCGAGCGTGCTACCGCTTGAGCCACATCCCCAGCCCATCTTCACCACTTTTTTGACTAAACATCCCAACCTTTCCTAGTCCTTGGTCAAAGATGACTGGTCCTTTCTGTCCCCCTAAGTACAAGTCTGAGTTCCTCTGGCCATGTCTTTGGTGATGCAGTTATTRTTGGGTGGTTAAGAAATGGGTGCCAGATTACCTGTTTCATACTTAACCCTGCCAATGGATCTGCAATTCTTAGAATGATAGGACCTTAAGTATCATGTCTCTGTCTCACCTTCCTCAAAGTAAAATGATGATAATGACAGTGTTAACATGTACAAAGCATTTAGAATAATGCCTTCTCAATGGTAGTATTTGCTACCGTGCTGGTAGCAAATTGGTAGCAACTTATTAAATAATTTATCAGTTCTCTATCTTAAAAAAAAAAAGCACCATTTCCCCATCCAGTATTTATGGCTTTTAGTCTACAATGATCTACTTAATCGAAGAATGTATGCTAGTTTTATCATGGTTTCAGCCTAGGTTTCATTATAAAATGAATTTTTTAAAGAGTTGAACCTCCCCTTGCCACCTCTTAGAGTTTAATTCTTAAATAAATGTATTTATTTTAAGGAAAGTAAAAAAAGATGATAGAAGTTTTACCATAAGCTGGTCACCAGGAAGGTGGTGGGGCCTTCCTTCAAATAGTGCTCTGTGTTTGGCTTTCCCATGGGTTTTTGACCTAGCTCTGCAATTTAATTGTGTGACTTGGGGAAATTACCTGAATTTTTAAAGCTTGGTGTTCTTTTTATTTATTTACTGCTTRCTTCATAAAGTTATAAAGATTAAATATAATAATGTGTGCATGATTTTTACCCCGGTGCCTGGCATTTAATAATGATATTAAATGTGCTCAATAAGTGTTGCTTGTTATTATCATTACTATTTTCAACAGAGATTGGGGTTAGAGATGGGATGATAACTATCTAGTACCACTGTTCAGGAGCTTAAATTGGGTTTCTACTAGAGGTTCGAAATGAATGTCTCMGGGTTTTTATGTCTCTGATGTTTTTTTCTTGATATGCTTTCCAAAGGTTTTAATTTCTCATCCTCTGGAAGAGAAGATGTAGATGTGAGAACATTAGGAAATGGTAAGATTGCATCAGCATCACCTGATTAAAAGTAACTTCCCTATGGTCAGCCTTCCCAAACAGCAGGCTTTCCATAGTCACTTAGTCAGAACCAAAGTAGGCAGAACCCAGAGCTTCTCCAAGGGGGGAAGCCTTGTGGATTATGGAGCAGCCTTTGTAAATTATATTATATATGTCTTTACAGGAATCATTTCTTCAGAGCCCATCCTTATTTCATATCTGTAGGTTGTAAGGGACTTTTATGTGCATTAAAAAGAAGGTACCTGATTTTTTCTCCCCTAAATTTGATTATTAGTTATTCCATGTAAAAATGCTTCAGAATCACCAGTAGTTTTCAAAATGATCATCTTCATTTAAAAAATAATTCTGCTATCTTAGACTTTCCCTTTTTTTTCATTTTATCTTGTTGAATTACAAGAAAAATGATGAGTATTAATCCCAAATTTTGATCTGTAGTCCTTTTCTCTCATGGAATCATAGCTTTTGTATTTCCCTAGTGGATTAGGCTGGGAGAGTGAATTTCAGCTTGGTATACTTGAGCATTCCTGCATGTGAAAACATTATGCTAGAGTAACCAATTTAATTAGTGGTTGTTTGAATTTTATTTTGTGATTAACACAGCCTTGTTTGTGGACCTTCGGGAAAGCAGTCATTTTCACATAATGCCTCTGCTGGAGTTTAGCAGCCCTCACCTCTTCAAAAGCCCCTTGCTTCTTTTCACACATTCTTTCCCTCCCCCAGATATAGTCATGTCACTAAACTTTCAGTCCTCTAGTGCTCAACCTGTTTTTCACACCTCCTAACCCTCTTGCATTAGCCCAAATGTTAACTCCATCAACACGTTTCTGTTTCATGACGGGTGTGTGCTGCCAGGAAGGCCCTTTGCAATTGAGCTGGTGAATCCTCATAGAGTACATTTCACTTCACAAGAAATTAAGGAACTTCAGCAGGTAAACCACTTCATGACATGGAAATCGTCATGTTTCTGTAACTCTGTAACTGAACTAGAGTTGCTCATTGTTTTTCTTTTTCTGCTACTATAGAAAATTAATAAGTCATCTAACAAAATCCAAGTACGTGACTTGCAGCTTGTCTCAAGGTAAGGGTAGGCTTACTGGAGATGATTTCAAAAGGGAAGTTTTTGTTGTGAATTATATGTCTGAAAAAGGAATTATATCCAGAATATATAATGTACTCTAATTTAAAATGGAGAAATGGTTAAGTAGACTTTTCTCCAAGAAGAATATAYGAATAGTCAATGAAAAATTAAAAAATACTCAATATCATTAGTCATTAGGGAAATGCAAATCAAAACCACAATGAAATCCTACTTTACACTCACTAGATTGACTATTTAAAAAAACAACAACAAAAAAACAAAAACAAAAAAAAAAAAACAAGTGTTGACAAGAATATAGAAAAACTATAGCCTACATTGCTGGTGGAATTGTAAGTGTGCCCACTTTGGAAAATAGTTTGACAGTTTCTCAAAAGATTAAACAGTTACCAYATGACCCAGCAATTCTACTACTAGATATCATATATGCAAGAAGAATGAAAACATACATCCACACAATGTATATGAATGTTCACAGTAGCATTTTTTAAAAATCATATAAATAGAAATTACCCAAATATCTGTGGATAAACTGTGTGACACAGTATATTCCTCTTAGCCTTATCCATGGAGGGTATGTCCAAGACCCCCAGRGAATGTCTGAAATTGGATAGTTTCAGAACTCTACATATACTTTTGTCCTATACAGAYATACCTTTAATAAAATTTAATTTCTACATTAGGCACAATAGAGATTAACAATAACAACTAATAATAAAATGGACAATTATAACTTTATAGTGTAATATGTTATTTAAAATGTGAATTGTTTATTTCTGGGATTTTTCCATTTATTATTTTCAGCCCAAAATTTACCTGAAACTGCGAAAAAGGGAAATCATAGATAARGGGGGACTACTGTATGTCATATAATGGAATATTATTAAGTAGTAAAAAGGATTGAAAGACTGACACGTGCTGAAGCATAGCTGCCTTGATAGCTCTTTGAAGTGAAAGAAGGTAGTCACCAAACACCACATATTGTAGGATTTCATTTTATATGAAAGGTTCAGAATAGGGAACTCTATATGGGACAGAAAATCAATTAATGGTTTTCTAGGGCTGAGATGGAGGAAGAATAGGAAGTGCCTGCTAATGGGTATGTGATTTCTTTTGGGGGATGATGATTGCATTGTAGAATTAGCAGGTGGTGGTAGCCACACGACTCTGTAAAGATATTAAAAATCATTGAATTTGTACAATTAATCTAAGGGAATTTTACAGAAATTCTATCTTAATAAAGCTATTTTTAAAAAGAGGAATTTAGGGCAAGGCTTGGGTGTACAATATATATTCAGGCAAACTTTCTTTTATTGTTTTTGTTCAGAGAGGCAATAGGACATATGAAAGAAGGTGAAGAAGAAAAGACTAAGACCTATAGTGCCTTAATATGGACAAATAAAGTAATACAGAAGAAAGACATCGAATTCCTGAATGATATAAAGGTAGTTTAAGTGTTCTGTTCTTTTGTTTTTCTACTGTCTATATACTGTCTGTTGTCTTCTAATTTATAACCAGAAAGTCATAGAGCATGGGCTTTTGGGTCTGTGAGACCTGGATTCAAATCCTGGCTTTGAATCCACTTACTATCTGAATGACTTGGCACTTCATCTAACCTGTTGGATAGACATTGTTGCTAGCRATTAAGAGCCCTGCTCAGAAGACAGATCTCTTGGGTGAAACCCTGATCTGCATTTCTTAGTGTGATTTTGGACAAGTTACTTAAGCTAATGCTTCAATTTCTTCATCTGTAAAATTAGTTAAATAATTAAATGAATTTAGTCATATAAAACTCAGAATTGTACCTAGCATGTAGAAAATGCTCAATAATGCTATTATTTGTATTTGATTACATGAAATAAAAATATCTAGCAGAACTAATAATTAAGATTAAGTACATGAGGACTGGGGATATAGCTATATGTGAAGCACATACATTTTGACACAAAACTTCAAGGGCATGTCACTAATAGAGGGTCTCCCTGTTCTTTTTTATATTTCTTTCCACCTTCTCCCATCTCTTCCTGTGAAGATAATTGGCTTTCAAATGCAAGGAATGAGCACAGATGGACTCAAAGAAGTATATAGTACCAGGTGCAGTTGTACACTCCTGTAATCCCAGTAACTCAGGCAGCTGAAGTAAGAGGATTGTAAATTTCAGGCCAGCCTGGGAAATACTGAGACCCTGTCTCAAAATAAAAAATAAAATTGACTAGTGATGTAGCCCAGTGGTAAAGCACCTGTGGGTTCAATCCCCAGTATCTGCACCCCCCCCCAAAAAAAATCAGGACATTGTTTAAATGGGCAGTAGTTTGTAACAATATACATGACCTGCTAAAGGAGACTGGTTTAATACTATGGCTTTTTTGTATAATGGACTATTACTCTATTACTCTCCAAATATAAAAAATTATGTGGTAGATATTTATTAGCATAGGACAATGTTCCTGATAAGTGTTAAGGGGAAAAAAGGTATAAGATAATATGGTACATTGTGATTTGGGCACACACAAATGTGTGTGTTTGTCTATATATGACTACACAGGAAATAAATTATATGGTAAAAGATACCATAAACAGGATTTAAACTTAATCATGAAAAAAAAAATAGAAGGAAATAGAAGGAAAGAGCAGCTAAAGAAAAGAGCAACTCCAAATGCCAAGAATCATTTGGAAAGATGTTCTGTCTCCAGGATGAAGTCACAGTAGGACATCACTTTATTCTCATTAAACTAATAGCATGAAACAGTAGGTTGAGGAGAAGAATATTGTATATATTGTTAGTGAAAATGTAAAGTATTCAACCTTTTTGGAAAGCAACATGGAAATGACTGTAAAAACTAAAAATACACTGGTTTTCTACCCAGCACATCTTCTACTGACAATCTTTTATAGAAATGAAACTCCAGCACATGAAGATATGTGCATGAAGAGGTTTACTGATTTTTTTCAGAGTGGTAAAATCAGCAATAATAAAACTGAAAGTGGTGGGATAAATTGGAATATTATGTAGCCATTAAAGAACAAAACCAACTTGTTTCCATTTAATTTAAGTTAATGTGTGTATACATGCCTAAAAATGTTGGGAAAAAAGATACAAATGTGTGTATACATGCCTAAAAATGTTGGGAAAAAAGTACATCTGAATCTATGACTTGTAGAAGCACCCATGACATTATGAAAAAAAAAAAAGTGAAATGCAGAGTAGTGTTTGTAGTGTGAGTGGTTTTATTGAAAACATGTATCATTCACTTACTGAGAGAAGCTTATCCATAAAATGAGAGGATAGGCTTCTGGAATCACCTATAATGGCCACTCAAATTCTMAGGTTCTATAATTCTGTATCTAAGTCCCTTTGGCTTTTGGTCTTGCTACCTAGGGTCTTTAGGTTAGTAGTTAATATACTACTAATATAGTAGTTCTATATTAACTATAGACAGATATTTTATTTTTAAGATTGCCAAACAGATTTCTAAACTTTTTTGGGGGAAGGGGGACTGGGGGATTGAACCCAGTGGTGGTGTGTTTTTTAAACCACTGAGCCATATTCCCAGCCATTTTTCTTTTTTGAGGCAGGGTCTCACTAAGTTGCTTAGACTGGCTTTAAATTTGTAATACAGCCAGCCGTGGTGGCACACGCCTATAATCCCAGSGGCTCAGGAGGCTAAGGCAGGAGGATTGTGAGTTCAGAGCCATCTTCAGCAAAAGTAAGATGCTAAGCAACTCAATGAGACCTTGTCTCTAAATAAAATAGGGCTGGAGATGTGGCTTAATGGTCAAGTGCCCTTGTTCAATCCCCAGTACTCAAAWACAAAACAAAACAAACAAACAAAAAACCTTGTTAATACTCCTGCCTCAGCCTTCCAAGTTACTGGGATTATAGGTGTGCACCATCATGCTCAGTTCTAAACTTTTGTATTCCTTCACATGTATACAAGTCATTCAGAATGCTGTGGGAAAAATAAATTCATTTAAAAAGATAGATTCAGGGCTGGCATGCACAAGACCCTGGGGATTCATAGTGTGGGGCAATGTAGCTAAATCAGAAATAATGTTGATAGTGATTTTATAGGTCCAGATTAAGTGGTGAAAGATTTTATTTTAATCGTCTATCACCCAAGTAGACTGATGTGACTAGTAACATTGTTGTGATTTTCACATATTCCTATTGGCATAAAAATAATAAGCACTAAGTGCTTCCTCATTCTGAGAAAAGTCACATCAGATTTACWACTTTTCCCTTCTTTTTATTTTGAGTTATTTATTTAAATTTTTTTTAAGTGCYGGGAATCAAGCCCAGGGCTTGCTAGGCAAGTGCTCTAGCTACATCCAATGCACTGAGCTATTTCCCCTGCCTGTGTCCCTTCCTCCCTTTTATTTATTTATTTTAATATTTTCTTGTAGTTGGACACAATACCTTCATTATTTACTTTATTTTATGTGGTGCTGAGGATCGAACCTAGCGCCTGGCAAGTGCTCAGCAARTGCTCTACTGCTGAGCCACAACCCCAGCCCTGTGTCCCCTTTCTAAAGGGCAACTTATAAGAAAAAAAGTGCGTGTTTCTGAAAATTCAGTAGCATGGGATAATGGTGTGCAACATTAGAATAAGTGAAGTGTTTTCCTTTTGTCAACTGAAAACAGACCCAAAGAGACACTTGAGCATGTGTTAATATGAATGTTATGTTGGAAGAGTGGTGGGTCTACCAGCTCTGTTGGTTGTTTTGATTGTCTGGCTCATGGCCAAAGTACTGGGAGTGACTGGAAAGTTAAAGGAAGTAGAGAAGAAGAGCACTCATTAGATAGTTGCTGATTTAAAGGCTAGATGTTTCTGTACTCTGAAGCAGAGGCTCTATCTTTATAGACTTGTTAACATTTCAGCCTTATCCTTTACTTGTTTCGTCTTTTGACTAGAGAAAAGTCAAACTTTATGGAAATATTTCATCAGAACGAAAATCTTGAAAGTAAAGAATTATAGAATCTTAAAATGCACAGTGTTAGGAGGGACCATTGACTCACTGCTCTGATAGAAGCGCTCACACCCTTTAAATGTGGTCTTTGTCAGAACTTGCTTGCTTTTTCTTGGTAGAAAACTTGATAGAGAGGAGGCCAGACAGGAACCTTTCTTTTTTTAGCASGGCTTCAGGCCCACACTAATCATGTAAATTTGGAGCAGTTGTTCCAACAAGATAACTCAGAGAATGTTTTTCTGAACCTACAYTTTCATTCATTCCAATATTTACTTTTTTTGAGTGGGGTGGTTCTGAGGATTAAACTCAGAGGACTCAACCACTGAGCCACATCCCCATCCCTATTTTGTATTTTATTTAGAAACAGGTCTTACTGAGTTTCTTAGTGCTTCACCATTGCTGAGGCTGGCTTTGAACTCCTGTCTCAGCCTCCCAAGCCACTGGGATTATAGGCATGTGCCACCATGCCTGGCTCAAATATCTGCTTTTAAAACTTGGAATTAGTTGGGGGAAGGGGGATTCAAGATGGCAGGCTAGAGGGAGTCTGCATTCTTTGTCACTCTGTGACCTGGGGTTCAAGTGGTGGGAATACTATTTCTCTGCAAGTGATTAGAGGACCCCCAACAGCTGCTCCTGTAAGGAATCACAGCTGCTGTGCTGTGCAGGTCTCTAGGCCTCAGTGTCAGCGCAGTACTCCCAGTCACTTGTCCACGCAGGACCTGTGGCTGCTGTGCCCAAGCAGGACCACTGGCATCAGCATCCCTGCGAATCCCAGCTACTGCTCCCACACAGGACACCTGGCTGCTACCCAGATGCAGGACCTCTAGCTGCTACTCCCATGTGGATCCCCGTCTATCAACGTGGGGCTCCCATAGTCGCCTCTATCTTGGGACACTGCAGCCACTACCATAGTACCCTATATGCAGTAGCCTCCACCTGGGGACACCACACAGGGTCTGGAGACAGGCGCCAACCACAACACTGCATGCCACAGAACTRCATTTCTGAACAGCTGCCCAATGCTACCACCCAGTACTACCCAACTCGACACCCCATCACTGAAAGCAGCCGCCTCCATCTTGGGACACCTTTGTTGCCATTTTAGTTGGGGCTACTCCCAGCTTGGAACACCTGCTGGGGCTTAAAAGCAATATCAAGGTACCTGTAGTCTCCAGTTTCCCTCTCCCTGGCAGCCACTATCCCAGCACAGTGTTTGCAGATATGCAGCTGGTCCTGAACTGCCTGATACAAAACAGCTCTCTGCAGCCAGTGTGCAGTCCCCAGAGAACAGCCCACAAGACCTCTGGAGAGAGAGGTTCCTGATTGGGAAGTACAAAGGGAGCGGGTGAGTGAGATAGAGTTGAGAGACCAGGAATTGTGAGGTCTACAGGTGATATAAGGAGGTAATACTGGATGCCCACATCACACGAGTGGGCACCAAAGGAGATCCTTGGGGTGCAGTCTCCCATCGGGTTAG